ATTTTTTTCACCATTGCTTCATCATATGTTCGTCTTCCAACAACCGTACCTTGATTCTAATCTTGCAACGAATACAACTAAAGAAGCTTTCCCACACTTTGTGCTTTTTGCTCCTTTTCACTCACACTTCCCTTGTGACTTCCTTTGCGGTGTTGTTATCTATCTTTAGAATTCCTTTTCTACTAACAGCACCATCGAATTGTGTCTGATCTGTCCATTTGTTCATGGAAGCCCAGAACTCCACAAATTGGCTTGTTTATTGATTCTGTCTCTAGTTTGACTATTTCCTGATCCACAGTGTGACTGGGCAATTGCCTCTTCCAGTTAATTTGGCAGATGTCCTTTAATCTCACTGCTGCATTTCCTTCTCAAATTATTGTTGCCCTGCTCTGTTCTTCCACTGAGCCTAATTATCCTGTGGTCCCTGCTTTCCAATAGCTTCCTTACCAATAGGCCACCCACTTACTCATTACCTAAAACTAATCCAAGTCAGGTTTCATTCTGGATTGAAACAGCAAAATCTTGATTGAACCTGACACGATACAAAAGAAACCTCTCCCCTCTCTCAACAAAAAGCTATATCCTACTCTGTTGTTGGATATTTAATACTGTTCATAATTACAGTTCCATTAATTTTAAATTTAAATGTTGATCTTGCTCTATGTACACCTTCTCCAGCCATAACATTGTATTCCTTGCTATGTTCTATTATGCTCATTCACTTTGTATGATGTGATCTGTCTGTGCTGCATGCAAAACAAAACTTTTCACTGTACCTAGGTACATGTGACAATAATAATCAAATCAAATGGTTAATGCACACCCCACTTACTAGTATAGAAATTTCACCCACATTTCCTTTCCGTAGTTTTGTGGGATATCATAATTGTTTTACAGTCCTTTCTACAGAAGTTCTAGAATTTGAGGAATTTTAAGGAAATAAAAACATGTAACTAAATGCAGTAAAGAACGCTCATCTGAGATTCATGGGTAAGACCAATTATTGAGTTAAGTACAGGGAACGTCACCCAGCAACACACCAGATTTGACAACAGAGAACCCAGCAGACCAGACACGGTGGGTTGAGGGTCAAGGGGTTTACAAAAGGGGAGAGCGAAACAGATACACGTCACACTCGTATTGCTTTTAAAGTGTAAAATGGAAGCAAAGTGTAATAGCTTAGACATCCTCTGCACAAACCGTGCAAGGTTCGATCGCATCGTCGGAATTTGAGATATCTTTTCTTTGGCATCCGTCATAGAGCCCAAAGTAAAGCAGACTTTAATTTACATAAGGTGCAGGGCTGGATGAACACAGCAGGCCAAGCAGCATCATAGGAGCAGAAAGGCTGACATTTCGGGCCTAGACCCTTCATCAGAAAAAGGGGGAGGGGAAGGGGGTTCTGAAATAAATAGGGAGAGAGTGGGAGGCGGATAGAGAAGAGGATAGGTGGAGAGGAAACAAACAGGTTGAAGAGGCGGGGATAGAGCCAGTAAAGGTTAGTGTAGGTGGGGAATTAGGGAGGGGATAGGTCAGTCCAGGGAGGATGGACAGGTCAAGGGGGCGGGATGAGGTTAGTCAGTAGGAGATGGGGGTGCGGCTTGAGGTGGGAGGAGGGGATAGGTGGGAGGAAGGACAGGTTAGGGAGGCGGGGACGAGGACGAGCTGGACTGGTTTTGGGATGCGGTAGGGGGAGGGGAGATTTTGAAGCTTATGAAATCCACATTGATACCATTGGGCTGCAGGGTTCCCAAGCGGAATATGAGTTGCTGTTCCTGCAACCTTCGGGTGGCATCGATGTGGCACTGCAGGAGGCCCAGGATGGACATGTCGTCTGAGGAATGGGAGGGGGAGTTGAAATGGTTCGCGACTGGGAGGTGCAGTTGTTTGTTGCGAACCGAGCGTAGGTGTTCTGTGAAGCGGTCCCCGAGTCTCCGCTTGGTTTCCCCGATGTAGAGGAAGTCACACCGGGTACAGCGGATGCAGTATACCACATTGGCAGATGTGCAGGTGAACATCTGCTTGATGTGGAAAGTCTTCTTGGGGCCTGGGATAGGGGTGAGGGAGGAGGTATGGGGGCAGGTGT